TAATTTAACTCTTTAGGGTTTAGGGTTTCTTATTGTTAGTGGATATTTTTCTATTTTATTAAAATTTAAATATATAAATTATAAAAATTCAAGATATAAAATATTTCAATTTAATATAAACTATTAAATTATATTTAATAAAAAAATATTAAAATTAATTGATAACATAATTTATTTCAACTTATGATTTTATTAAATATGTATTTTTTAATAGATATTTTAAATTAAATTTCAAAAATTTAAAAATAAATAAAATAGTAATCATTTTTAATTATCTAAAATTATATTACTTTTTATTAATCTTTTTATTTTTTTCTTATTGGACACATTCTCACAAAAATTTTATCATTTTTTTTATTCAAATATCAGTTAAGTTCAATAACTTTCGTATAAATAAATTTAATCTAATAAAACATTTTTCACATCTTAAATCAATCGATAAAAGACTCGAAATTGAAAATAATTACTATTTTAGAAAAACCAAATTGAACTAAATTAAAATGATTAAGGATCACAATAAATATTTTAAAAGTTAAATAACAAAAATAATTCTTTTTAAAACAAAATAAATCTTAAAAATAAGATATATAATTTACAATTTACCAAACAATAAACAAGACCGATCCAAAATGTTTTATCGATTTTGGACCAAGTCGACCAGTTCACACCGATATTCAAATGATCTGATTTTTGTAAGTAATCAAATGGGCCAGCAGACTGATTGCCGGTCCAGCCGATCTGATCCAGTCTGATTTTCAAAACAGCAAGAAGAATAGAAAAACTATTCACACCAACATGTGTAAAAATTGTGCCAATTTTTTGAGACATTATCGTTTCCCCTCAAAATATTATCCCAAAACAAACAAGAAGTAACTTTCCGTGTTCCAACTCATCATTGATTTGCCTAACTAATGTATTTGAACGAGGGTACTTTTTTTTTTTTTGGTAGGTAAGGTAAAATGAGGTTTATTCACTTTACATGTCCCAGACCTCCTAACCTTTTTGACTTTTCAAAATCTTCTTCTATCTAGTGTTGTATGACTAAAGACTACTGATTGAACTGATCCTACCTATGCTCCAACAGAAGTTAGAAGCCAGAATAAAGGGAGGGAGAAGGGGCCAAAAAGAGAGAATATACAGGGCTATATAGTACATACATCAAGCTGGCAGATAAATCAAAATAAAACAAATCAAGCCATTGGAGCTTAGGCATCCAGCTTGCCTACTAAGTGACACATGGCCAACAAGGCAACATGGAAGACGTTGAGTTCCTTTTTCCAGCAAAGACTGGGTTCCTTTTCTTATCATCAATGATTTTTCCAGCAAGCTTTCCCTCTCTTTAGTCTTTACAGCCCCACCATCAATGCTTTCTTAGGTAGCCGAGAAGTTAACAGAATGGACAACTCCATCCTCCCAGGAGAGCCTTCATAGCCATTGTTGATAATTTTCATGAACTCTCCCTTTACCAAATCAATGTCAATGAAATTATTCTTCACATGTTGCAAGCCCCAGTAGAAAACCACATGTGGCTCCGTTTTCTCACTATCAACATATTCTGTGGGGTTGGGGTCACAAAATCCAAGAATACCCTCCAGCTGTAGCAAACAAAACCATATTAGGAAATGATAATAAAATATAACTATGAGATATCTAGATTTATCATTTGCGCTACTTACAATTACGAGAAGACCCCGAAAGCGTGACTTAATCCAACCAACCCAGTCTCCAAGTGTATAATGATTAGGAGAAGAGAGGTAAATCTTGACAAATTGGAAGTATCTTTTTGAGTATGGGAAAGGCTCAAATACATGATCCCAATCGAAATCTGGCATCAAAAGATCCTTCAATTCAACCAAATAAAGAAAATGAGAAAGACTTACTTAAAGGGCTAGTTTTTTTTTTTTTTTTTAAACTAAGTACACACGAAAATCGTGTGGAAATAAAATAGGGGCATCAACTTCAGTTATGGTTGTCCAAGCAAAAGAAAGTAAGTTTGAAATACAGAACATTAAGATTAAGTCACTAAGGATAAAACTATACAATAATAGAAGCAATAAAATGTATACCAAAAGGAGACTTCAGTTAAGCAACTAAACATACCCTTGTCATATTATGCCCACGAAGAAGTTCAGACCTGATTCGGTAGAAAGTGCTTTTAGTTATATTAGTATGGCAGAACTCGTAAGGACTAGATGGCAGCCATATAGGCATGAAGGATCGTGCTTCTATAGCATCAAGAGCTGTTAGCAACATTCCTTCCTGCAGCATTACGGGAGTCGGCCAGGGCCAAAATGCAAATGTTTGAAAAAAGTTCATAATTAGAGAGTTTAAAGTGGCATCAGGATGTCTTTGAAAAACATAAGCTGCAAGAACTGTCATATGAACTCCTCCCAAATAACCAAGCAACTGCCAAAAAAAAAATGTTACCTCACATTAACCATAAAACTTGAGAGTTCAAGCACAAAGTTATGAAAGTAAACATTACTTAAAAGTACAAATGCACTTACATTTCCATAAACTCCTCGTCTTTTTGCCCAGAGTTTAAGACATCGTAGCAAAGATTGAAATTTCTGAAACATTAGATTTGCATTAAAGAGACCATAATGCACAAGAACAATAAAGCAAAACTAGACAAAAAACCTGCCCAGTCCCCTTCCTCGCCCATGCATGGAACCAGATAAAAAAGGGGAGCTACTAATCATTCTCAAGTAAAAGAAAACAAAAATTGAGATATTTTCATGTACTTTGCATCATCAAGATAATATTCCAATTGCTTAATGATTATTTCTTTTACTGAGAATAGAAATGATCGGCATACATCTTACCTCAATATTAGGAACTACATGGAGAATATGTCTATTTGCACGTACTCCAGACAAACTTTTCCAGCTGGTATCATCAATGTTCCTCATGAAAAATGGATTTAGAATGTCAACATTCTGTATTATAATTAACAGCATCAGTGAAACAATTGGTTATTTAACAAGCCAAGTTCAGAAGAGTATTAAATACAAAATAAAAGCGTTATGGATTAATGCATAATCAACTACATTATGTTTCTTCATACTGACCTCAGGAACATATAGTACATTAAGCCGGGCATATGGAAGATCAATGGAAATCCCATCAAATTTAAATCGCATTAGAGGGACTTTTGCACTCTTGACACAGTGAATATCTGACACTTCAGGACTCCTTTTAAGCATGTCATGCAACACAACAAAAAAGTCTTCCTGTATAGATTATATCTGTAAATATTAAGACAAATGTGCTACAGAGCCAAGGGGGGATGATAAACAAGAGAAACCAAATTAACTTACTGCAATTGAGGCAAAAAAAGGAGCAACACACAAAGCATCAATGTCAGACTCTGAGCTGTGAACCTAAACATTATTGAAAGTTTAGAAAATAAAACATGCTTTAGACAAGTAAAGAAATTTAACAGTCAAATGCCAGTAAATTAAGAGAAATCCTAACTCGACAAATTCTTTAGCTCTCATCTTTAAAAACTAAGAAACCAAGCAATATTATATAGGAATACTAAAAAAGGGAAGCACTTACTCCAAGGCCATAAGATCCATATGTCAGTATTGTGGCAGAAGTAACAGCAATCTGGTGTTTTGGTAGTTGATGCTGACATGCAACCTTCTTGATCCATAATGAGACTATCTGCAAGGCAAATAACTTGATAAATAAGGTGATAAAAAAGAAGTACAAGATTTGTAATTAGTGGCAATACCATCAAGACAATGCAAAGTGCACAAACAAATATTGTGATGCAAATTAAAAAAAAAAAAAAAAAAAAAAAAAAAAAAAAAAAAAAAA